CTGGTGCTTTCCTTGAGAATGCATTTTCTGGGTTTCGTCTGAGAAGCTTATGTTTTTTTAAGGCATTTGCCGAGGACGAAAAAAGTTGAAGTTGACAACAATGGAGAGGAATGAATCAAGGGATCAATTCCCTATTAGGATAAGAGTTCTGGATTTTCATGCTAATCGTACTTGTCTCAAGTGGTTGGAACATTGTTTGCTTCAATATCCATATCATGGTTAGATTTCGTTCTTGTTCATTCTCTTTGATTTTCGTAATTTAGCTTCTAATTTATGTTCTCTATTATAATCTAATTTGTGCTCTCTGTTATACATATTTAAAAATATTTTGACTCTTTTCTTCATTGAAGTCGTTGGATGTTCCCTCCTAGTGGGATCTTTTTTTATAGAGAAAAAGGATGGCCTGCCTTTCATTCCACCTGAGGTGTTTTACTAAAAAAAGAAGAATGCACCCCCCTAACTCTGAGAAGTGTACTTGATATAATTTCAGTCACATACCACCAAAAATAACAAAAACTCCACAACCAACACACAAAACAAAGTACTATTTAAGCCAAAATATAAAGTCGACCACATAGAAACACAAAAACATATATCATTTTTACACAAAGACTAATGAGATTCCACTTAAATCACATTGAACATCAACAGCTCTAGCTTTGGCTTAAGTTTTTACTCCAGCAGCAAGACTCCTAATAGTAGCAATAAGACTCCTAAGTCCCAACAATAGCAGCTCCCTAACCTGATGAGTTTTCTTCCCCTTCTACCATAGCGGACAGTCAATCTAACTTAATTCCTCAAAAGAAGATTTACCTCCAACACCAGTTGAAATCCCATATTGATCAGCAACCAATGCAGCTTTTCTAGCAGTAGCTTTATCCATAGCAGATTGAGATTCAGTAACCTGCAATCTCACACTTCTTCTCACCATTGCAACCCACTGAATACCACTATCCCCGGTACTCTATCAAAGTGACTCTTCATCAACAACTATACCAACAGAAAGAACTTCAACACCCTTACTGAACACACCCTCAATTACTTTTCCACCTTGATTCTGATCCTCATCAATAGATATCTCACAAAAAGCACTATTCTAATAATTAATTACTTTAGAAGGGTATTCTGCTTCTTAAACATCGAGCATGTTTACATTCTTATCTCCCTAACTCACAATGCGCATCAACCTCCTGGGTAACTAGCTTTTTATCACTCTTAGAATTCTCTTGCTCAACCCCCAAAATTTCCACCTCATTATTCCCCTAATATTGCAAACAGCCTCCTAAGGCGTGGTTTCGTAGAAGATATAAGAAGCGAAAGTGAGGTAGGATGAGGCATAAGGAGGCAAGATTTTAAATGGCGAACATGTCAGACATGGTTGCCGACAAGTCAGTTTGAGAACTCTAAAACTACGATATCATGTTCCGAAATTGTATGGTATTTTAAGGAAAAATATCAGGACATGTCAGGCATATTAGCCGATATGTCGGCCTCCAAATATCGACTGATATGGACTCTTTTGAGCTTGAGTTTAGAAATCAAAACTCAAACGTGATTATCCAATTGTCGCATTCCTAATTAAAAGAAGTTAATAGCCAAGTGTAGGGTAAAATCGTGCCTTAAAAATAAATTGCTCCACTTCTCCTTCACTTCCTCCTCGAGGAGAAATCGATTGAGAGTTTGCATCAAATTTAGAAGTTGGATTTAGGTTTCGATGATGAACGAAAATAAGGCATCCCTCCTTCCCTTGTTCTCTATTTCTCTTTCTTTCTATCTCTCTCTTTCTCTTGCAATCAAGAAGCAAGTTTCTAGAATCAGTTAGTGATTCCAAACATCATATGTTATTCATATTTTGTATGTTTAGATTGCATTTAGGATATTACATTATATATATGCATACTATCTAATATGACAATCCGATATTTTATTATATATCCCCGATATTTTCCAAATTTTCGCAATCCAATATGAATTTTAAACGTTTGACATGTCCTCGACATCCAACATTTAAAACATTACAAGGAGGTGTTAAGAAAGAATATACTTTTTGTGCTTCTTGTTTGATTGGAGGTAAGCGGGTGAAGTTAGATAACATTTTCTTTTTAGGTTAAAGAGATGGAAAGGAAAGGTGAGGTATTGAGTTATTTAAATACAATAACATCCTTTTACGAAGGAGCAATGAGATTTAGATAATAAAAGGTAAGTGAGTAATTGTACAAAATATATAAGGACATAAAAATCTTTACAAGATAATTTTTTTTTCTTCACCTTAACCCTCCAAATCAAAAAGATTCTCTTTCTTCACTTTCTAGTTTATTATTGCATTTTCATGTGCACTCTATCTCACATTCTCTCTCCTTAAAATCTCCTACCAAAGAGAATTTTTAGTTTTATTCCTCACTCTACCTTATCTTCTCTCCTGCCAAGCAAGTCTGAGTAACTATCTCCTTAGCTCTCTTATAAACAACCTATTCACCTACCAAAATTTCCACATCCTCATCTCCCCTGTGAATATCAGTAAACACTTTCGGAGGGTGAGCAAGTTTCTCCTGTAAACTTTCCTCCAGCTTCCCCTAAATAGTTTCCTCTTGTACATTTGTAAGAAACACTTCATTAATAGACCCAAACCACCAATAGGCTTCTTACAAAATTCTTTATTGTGACTTCATAATTAACACTTCATTAATAGACCCAAACCACCAATAGGCTTCTTACAAAATTCTTTATTGTGACTTCATAATTTGGTTGCAGAAGTTTCTCAAGGATTTTGCATGCAATCATTTTTCTTCCTCTAACAAGTATCATTAAAACTTTCATCAGAAAAAGCATCTTGTTGAGATTTCCTCCCTCTCTCTTGTTGACTCCCTCGCCAAGAATCCCAAACAAGGCCAGAGTTACATGATTGGTTGCTATTTTTTCCATATCCTCACCCAGAGGCTTGTCATTACTTTCCAACACTGTCATGATTGACACAGATGCTTTGTAGAAATAAGATCCAACATGTATTTTGACAATACAAGAAATGTCAGCAAGTTCACTACATTTAACCAACATAATAGCATCAACAATGGAAGGTGAGGTAGAGTGAGGGGCAAAACTAAAAATCCTCTTTGATAGAAGAGTCTTCGACGGAAATGGAAGGTGAGGTAGAGTAGAGTGAGGAGAGAGAAATGCAGAAATAAACTAAAAAGTGAAGAGAGAAAATCCCTCCAATTTGGAGGGACAAGGTAAAGAGAGAAAATTTATCTTATAAAAACCTTTATATCCTCATATATTTTGCACAATTATCCACTTACCTTTCATTATCCAAACTTCATCTCTCTTCTTCATAAAAAGGCAATATTGTATTTTAACTAACTCAACACCTCACCTCCCTTTCCATTCCCTCAACCAAACAAGAAAATATTATACAAACCCCTCACCCTCCACCCAACCAAATAAGAAGCACAAAAGGTAAGTCTTTCCTAGCACCTCCTTGCCCTCACCCCTCCCCCCCCCCCCCCCCCCCCCCCCCCCCAAAAAAAAAAAAAAAAAATATATATTCATCTCTCTTCTTCACAAAAAGGCAATATTGTACTTTAACTAACTCAGCATCTCACCTCCCTTTCCATTCCCTCAACCAAACAAGAAAATATTATATAAACCCCTCACCCTCCTCCCAACCAAACAATAAGTACAAAAGGTAAGTCTTTCCTAGCACCTCATTTTGCCCTTCTCCCACCTCACTTGCCCTTCTCATACCTCCTACCAAACCAAACATTAGTGGGTTTTCTACATAAAATTAGCGTGCCTCATTTACTATTTTCGCTTGTAGTTTACCTTGCATATTTTATCACACAAAGAAGAAAACTTTAATTCTGCAACTTAATAGGTATTTTTCCCAATAGAAGCTAATTTCTTTTATTTGATATCATTATCCTAGAAGAGATATTTATTTAGAATTGGAACCCAATTATAAGTTTCTTTATTGTGAATTTAACAGCAAACTTGGAAGATAAATTTCTTCAACCTGTTTTTGAATGAATTGGTTATTGATTTACGTTCTCTTAACAAGAGATTGTGCAAAAGTTTTTATTTAAACAACGAATCATGTCGTCAAAGCATTGGAGATGTTGAACGAGAACAATGACATATTTGATTAGTCTTGAATTTTACTTTATGTGGGATTCTTCATCATGTCGAGAATTATTCTTTGATAGATGCTTAGTCATGTTGACAATTATCTATAAACCATCTAATTGTTTGGTGGGAGAAAGAATGAAGTTATTATTTTTCACCATAAGTAAACCTTATATTGTCTGTATTCTACATGTCATTATCAATGCTTTTGTTGCAAAGGGACTGACCAATCTCTCTTAGCGAATCAATCAATCTTGTACAAAATAAAGCATATCTAAAGTGTAATTGTCAGAAAATTAAGGAACCTGACCTACTATGAAAATAAAAGATTTGTTTTCGTTTATAGTGTACAGAATTTAACTCAGCTTGTTATCTTTTCTTTCATTTGAAATTTGAATCATCTGGACAATTAGCTTTTGGTCTTAACTCTCAAATACTTTGATGGAAGACATAAAAGACCTTTCTTTCAAGATCAAGGGAACCTTATGTTACATTCATCCAGACATGTTCCATTTTACCTTCGATAAATAAAACAAATACCAAATTTAGACAACCTCAAGTGAAACAACAATTGCAATTAACTGAATATAACATTTTAAGTAATCAAAGGCCATGTCACCTGAGATAAAACAACCAAATGAACCGATTTGTCTCTAAATTCTAAAGCAACTACAACATTTTACAATCAAGCCGGATTAACACTTAAAGTAAGACACCCTAAAAGAATACAACCTGTTAACCATAATAATCAAGCTGGATTCTAGTCATCTCAATCATTTGTTATCCCTTCTATTCCCTAGCTATTATCAGAAAAATAATAATACCTCAAGACAACACGGAAAACCTAAATAGAGAAGGGAAAGGATAATAAGAACACTTACCCCATGGAAATTCCTTGTTACGAATGTGCAAATACGGGTAAGCCTGCCAAAAGGGGGGCGAAAAGATTAGTTTTTTTTTTTTATAAAAATCAGCATCACAAACAAAAAAAAAATTGTTTTTAAAAGTTGCAATTGCAGAGAAAAAAATTACCGGAGGATCTTCATGGTGAGGGTGGCCCTTGGAAAGATTATAGATCGAAAGGATCGTGCAAGTCACGATTCCAGCATACGTTATCTTCTCCCATTTCGCAGTCTCATCTAATCAAATGACGCAAAAAAAAATAGTCAATAGAAAGATCTGAATCAGAGAAAAAGAAACCCTAGCCCTAGCCCTCATTTCTAAAATTGGAAGATCCAATCGAAAGGGGGAAGAAAATTTACAAGCGTCGTCGTGATGAGAAGAAGCGGAGAAGTTCTTTTTGTTGGAAAGGAGGGACTTTGAGCCGGTGTTTGATCCCCGGCGAAGGAATCGGAGGCCTGATCTTGCCATTGAAGCCGCCATTACTGACCTCTGTGATTTCGCGTCGGTCGATCGAGGGGACGGATAGGAGCTTTGTTAGGTCGACCTCGTCTTATTATTAGGCGTTTTATATGTTAGTTCAATATTATAACTTAATCCCTGAAAACACTAAACTTTATATTAGAACTCCGGCATCTCATAAATTATTGCAAAGTAAACCCTTTAAATAATTACTTAATATTTCAAAATAATTACTTTAAATAAATTATTAAAATAAATTACTTTAAATAAAGGGAAAATTGTGTCCAGGCCCCAAAATGGGGAACTTCATGTGACAAGCCCCCTCGTATTTCGGCTCATGTGTATTAGCCCCAAAAAGTGAAGACTAATGTTTTAAGCCCCCTCCACGTCAGCGTTGTACAAAAGCAGATTGTATTTTTTTTAAAAAGGCGATACTGCCCTTCTCCTTCTTCCCCAGACGAGGCGCCGTCCTTTAACAGTAGACACTCCTCTTTAATGCGATAAGATGGAAGAAATGGAGGGAAATTTCCCCCCTTTTTTTCCCATCATGAGCAATAACTATTTAGTTATCCATTACTTCTCCTCAGACCAAAATTCTCTCCTTTACTCGCGCCATTAATCTTACCTTCTCTTCAAAATGGCTGAGAAGGACATCATTTGCATTGTCTCTTCGGGGTACAAAGCGGTATTTTTGAAGATTAACTCCTCAACCACCATCCTGGATCTCAAATTTGATGTGGCAGAGAGGTTAGGTATTCCATATGAGTCATTAATTCTGTCATACGAAGATGAAACAGCTGGAAGCTTGAAATTTCCTATTGAGAACGAGGGGGACATGATGTCTATGGTGGAGCATTGCCACAATCTTGGACTGAAAGAGGTTCACATGAAAGCTGATGATTTGCAGAATATACACTGCAATGAGCGAGTCCAACCTTGCAAAGAGCAAGTCCCACAAGACATGTAGGTTAACTGCGAAGTAAACGAACGCTAGTGCTAATCGTCTTCTTTTTGTCTATGTTGAATGTTAAACTGGATTTCAGATGCATTTCAACAATATGTTAGTTGTAATCGTTGACCTGTTAGTTCTAATCAACGTGTTGTTGCTGAACGGGTTTTTGTTAGTTCTAATGGCTATTTTGTTAGTTATAATCGCTATTTTGTTAGTTCTACACGATTGCATGCATCTTAGTTCTACATGATTGCATGCATGTTAGTTCTATTAATACATATAGGGGTTTCTGTTAGTTCTAGTAGCTATTTTGTTACTTCTACACGATTGTATGTTAGTTCTATCACCAGTTCCATATGGGGTAGAGCTACTCTAAAGCGTGTTAGACCCCTATCAACACTTTTATTTGTGTAGTTTATGATTAACTATTTTCCTGTTGTTAATATTTGTAGCGCTTCCAGAAGTCTAAACTCGAAAAGTATAGACTGTGGTCCGCCAGAGTTGTCGTCCACAACTGTTGCAGATAAGAATCCCAATGACATTCCTTCAAGAGATAATGTTATGATGATTGATGGCATGATTAGCAGATCTGAGAGGATTCCTGCTTGGTGGCACACTGCGTTAACTGGGGAGGGGTAACGTTTTGAAAGTGCGAAGGAGTTAAGATTGGCCTTGCTATACTACTCCATGGCCAAAAAATTCGAATATGAGTTTGTGAAGAATGAACCAAAGCGTATTCGAGTTTTTTGCCGGTTTAAGGTAGCCAAAAATTGCCCATGGATGTTATTTGCCTCTCCGCCGAAAAATGATAATAGACTTGAAATAAAAAGGTTCGTGGACATTCACAACTGTGGACAACATGCCAATAATGCAGGTCAATCTAGAGCCTCTCGTCATTTCATTGCTACCCAATTACAACCCACGTTGAAGGTACGTCCGGATATACGACCTATTGACGTTCAAAAGGAGTTTCTAAGTTCATATGGGATTAGGGTTGAATATAGTAAGATTTGGTGGGGTAAAGAAAGAGCTCGTTGAATATAGTAAGATTTGGTGGGGTAAAGAAAGAGCTCAAGAGCGATTATATGGTGATGCTTATGAGTCCTACGATCAATTGAGATGGTAAATCAGAAGATCATATATACACAAGTTGCTGTTGTTTTCATTTATATGACGCTATAAGTCTCATAACTTTATAATGTTGAAACTAACGCTTAATCTTCAATTATCTAGGTATGTAGACGATGTTAAGAAGACAAATCCGGGAAGCTACATTCATGTTGAACAAGACGAGGGTAGGTTTACAAGGATAGTCATCTGCTATGCGGCCTGCATAAATGGTTTTTTACAAGGTTGCAGACCACTTATATTTTTGGATGGAACCTTTCTGAAAGATCGATTCAAAGGTATACTATTAAGCGCCGTAGCATATGATGGCAATCAGGGGATATTTCCATTGGCCTATTGTATCTGCGATCAAGAAAATAATGTTAACTGGAAGTGGTTCCTACAAGGTTAGTTCCAACATTATACATGATGATGCCAACAAAAATAGAACTAACACACCACAATCAAATGCAGCTATTAAAAATGAACAAATAGAACTATCACCCTGCACATTAGATCTAAAACTTAGGTGGACAGAACTACCACACCATACACTAGGACTAACACTATCAATATTAGAACTAACACAACAGACAATAGAACTAACACTATCAATAACA